ACTTCTGAGACATGTTTCAAACCATATTTCTCAGAGTTCCCTCCTGGGAGTAAGCTCCAGCTGCCCATTGCAATAGGGCAACTTTTGTTATCTGTTTTGTATTCCCTATATCTGGGTTGCTTTCACTTCCTAAATAAACTATCTGCACTCATATCTTTGATTCAGTGTCTGCCTCTGGAAGAACTAAGAAACTAACATATGTGTAAATGTTATTTATGTAAATATTGATCTCAAAAACATCACTAAATGAAACAAGCAAATGCATAGTATACCAAAAAGTATGATACCATCTACATAAAATTTAAAATCTAATGGAAAAAGAATATAATTCACACATGCATGCATATTAAAGTATAAACAATTATATTTTAAATATATTTTCCTTTTTTTAAAGATAAAGTATTAAAATTTGTTAATTTTTGCAGGTGAAAACATGGTTGTTATAATATTCATCTTTGTCTAAATTTAACTCTTAAAATTAATTTAAAAATTTAAAAAGATATTGTTATATACAATCTCATTTCCTGAAGGCACATATTATGTAACAAAATTAGCAAATTGAATTTGTATGGTGAGAATTTATTTTTTCTAACATTTAACTATAAAAATTTTAAAATATAAAGAAAGGTGGAAGAATTTTATAGTGAACAAAAATATACCCACCACCTAGATTCTTCAATTAACATTTTACTATATTTGCTTTATCATATAACTCTCCATTTATCTATCTTCTATTTTTATGCATTTCAAGATAAGTTGCAGACATCAATATACTTCACTCCTAAACACTTCAGCATGCACATCAATAATTAGCGTTCGATATATAAACTTCTTATTTTTGAGTACAATATACACACAGATAAATGCATAAATTTCAAATGTATCATTAGATAAGTTTTGACAAATGCATCCGCTGTGTAACCCAAACCCCAATCAAAATAGAGAGCAGCACCATCACCACAGACTGCCCTCACGCCCCTCTTCCAGTCAATCCTCCCTGCCAATGTAACTAATGTTCGGAATTTTTTCCACCATAGATTAGTTTTGCCTATTCTAGAATGTCATATAAATGGAATCATACAATATGTATTATTTGTGTGAGGCTAACTTTCAGGAAGCACAACAGTTTTGAGATTTATCTAAGTTAACTGCATTATCTGCCATTCCTTCTATATTTCATTGTTTATTCAGGATTTTTTGTTTTCTGGTTTGTTTTTTTAAATAATCTATTCTACTGATCTAACTTCTGGGCTTTTTCCAGTTTATGGCTATTTTAAATATGACTTAAATAAAGTTGGTGAATATTCTTATACAAGTATTTTTATGAACGTATGTTTTCATTTTTGGGGTGGGGGGGTTATAAATACCAAAGAGAAGAATTTCAGAGTCATCAGATAGATGTATGTTTAGTTATATAATAAAACATCAGCTTTTTTTCAAAGTGGCTGGAGCATTTTATATGCTCGTGCATTTGTAAGAGGGTTCCAATAGCTCTCCTTCCTCACCAACATTGACTGCTGTCAATCTTTTTCATTTTAACCAATCTGGTGAGTATGTCCTGGTGACATCTGCACTTCCCTTATGACTGATAATGTTGAGCACTTTTTCATCTTCTAATTGTCCATTTGTATATATTTTCTCATAAAGCATCTGGTCAAATCTTTTGGCCATTTTTTATAGGATTGTTTGTACTTTAATTATTGACTTGTAGGTGTTTGTATGTAACCTGGACGGCAGTCCTTTGTCACATGTGTTGTGAATATCTTTTCTGTCTGTGGCTTATCTATTCATTTTCTTAATAGCATCTTTCAATGAGTGGAAGTTTTTAATTTTGATGTCAAATTCGTCAATTTTTGTTCTTTTGTTCTAACTTCTTTGTTCTATCTAAAAAACCTTTATTTACTACCAATTTATGAAGACAGTTTCCTGTTTCTTCTTTTATAGTTTTAACTTTTATATTTAGTTCAATGATTTATCTTGAATTAATTTTTATGTCCGATGTGATGTAGGAGTCAAAGTATACATTTTCCCATATGGGTAATTCAGCTGTTCCAGCACAATTTGTTGACAGACTTTCTTTTTCCCATTGGATTGTTTTGGTGCCTTTGTCAAAAGTGAAATGATCATATAAATAGGGGTCATCTACCGAGCTATTTTGTTCCATTGATCTATTGTTGATCCATAGGCTAGTACTACACTGATTTGTTACTGTAATGTTATAATAAATCTTAGAGTCAGGCGATATTAATTCTCCATTGTTTGAATATTTTTAAAGGTAAATGAAAATACCTTTATATTTACTTATTAGCTTTTTAGCTATATCTTTTTATACTTAATTTTTAGTGGTTGCTCTAAGAATTATACATCCTTAACTTTTTAGTCTACACAAAATGGATGTTGCATTACATCACATAAAATACAAAGCGTCCACCATGTGGCTCTATTTCCCTCCTCCTGCCATCTTTCTGCTCTAGTTGTCATATGTTAAACCAACATACTTTATAAATCCCACAATATATTATAATTCTTACTTTAAATGAGCATATGAATGTTTTAAAGCTTCAAAAGAAAAAAGAGTCTTTTATATTTACCCATATTTATCATTTATGGTGCATTTTAATCTTCTCTGAGGACCCTGGGGCTCTGTTCATTTTTTTCAATGTTTATCTCTCTTTTTCAAATTAAATAATATCTATTGATCTATCTTAAAGTTCACTGGTACTTTGTTCTGTAATCACAATGTGCTATAAAAGTCCATCCAGTAAATATCTATTTTCAGATATTATATTTCTCAATTCTTGAATTTCCAATTTTTAGTAATTTCTTGCTGTGATTTTCTTTCATTCTTTCATTTGATTTCACTTTTTCATTCATCACTATCTTATTTTCCTTAACAGATGATTTAAAAACCTGGTCAGCTAATTACATCATCCTGATAAACTCAGGATTGGTTTCTATTGATTGTCTATTCTTCTGAGTATGAGCCTTATTTTCCTGTTTCTTCCCAGGTCAAGTAATTTTGGATTGTATCATGAACATTGTGGATGTTATGGAGACTCTGGATTCTGTTATGTTCCTGTAAATAGTATTGATTTGCTATATTGTTTTATTTTAATAAGCAGTTAACTTGGCTGACCTTAAAATGCAAACTCTGTCTCCCCTGGGGTAGGTGGCAGCTAAGATAACAATTACGTTAGCCTTAGATGGGCTTAGAGTCTTCCCTATGCACATATATTTCAAGTATATGAGGTCTGACAATTAAGTTCATGAACTTGTTACAACGATGTTGCTAACCTTTTTTGATATCAGAGGGATTATTCATTATGAATTTGTACCAACTGGACAAACAGTTCACCAAGTTTACTATTTGGATATGCTGAAAGGGCTACGTGAAAAAGTTAAACGACCTGAACTTTTCGCCAACAATTCATGGCTCTTGCATCACTACCATGTACCAACTCACATGGCACTGTCTGTGAGGGAGTTTTTAGCCAGTAAGCAAATAACTGTATTGGAACACCCTCCCTATTCAACTTATTTGGCCCCCAATGACTTCTTTCTTTACCTGAAGATAAAGGAAATATTGAAAGGGAGACATTTTGATGACACTCAGGACATCCAAGGTAATACAGCCACAGCTCTGTTGGCCATTCCAGAAAAAGAGTTCCAAAACTGCTTTGAAGGGTGGACTAAGTGCTAGCATTAGTGCATAGCTTCCCAAGCAGACTACTTTGAAGGTGACCGTAGTGATATTCAGCAATGAGGTATTAGCACTTTTTCTAGGATGAGTTCACGAACTTAATTGTCTGACCTTGTAAACCAGAGAGTTGGAAAGTGTATACATGCAAAATCTGTACTCTTTTCTCTGACTAAGTCTTTTCTGGGATAACCCTCCTACTTCTCAGAGGCTGGGGCTGACTTGATCTCTGTCCTCCAGTTTTCAAGCCAAAAAGACTACAGATTTCTATCAGAGTTGTAGCTTCACTGCATGGAACACACTGTACCTTCCCTCAATCTAACAGTCTTCAAAAAACAAAACAAATAAACAACAAAAAAACAAAAAAATAGGAAATTCTTCCAATGCCATTCCCTTGTTTTAATTAAAAAAAACTTTTTGTTAAATAAACTTGTTTATAGATCAGTTTTAGTTTTATAGCAAAATTAAGCAGAAAGTACAGAGAATTCCCATATAACCCCTGCCCGAACTCATGTATAGCCTCCCCGACCATCAGCACGCATTCTGCACCAGAGTGGTACATTTCTTATCCTCAATGAACCTACATTGTTGGCACATCATTATCACCCCAATCCACAGGTTACACTATCCACTCTTGGTGTTATACAGTCTATGGGTTTTGATAAATGTAGAATGACATGTATCCACTATTATAGCATCATACAAAATATTAAGTGCCCAAAAAATCTTCTGTGTTCTACCTATTCATCCTTCCCTCCCACCCAGGCAACCACTGATCTCTTTACTATTTCCATAGTTTCGCCTTTTCCAGAATGTCATTTAGTTGCAATCTTACAGTATGTAGCCTTTTAGATGGGCTTCTTTCACTTAGGAATATGCCTTCTTTCAATTTTTGACATTCCTTCTATATGTGCTTGGTTTTGGTCACTCTCCAGTGTTTTTAGATAGTTATTTCATCCGGAATTTATTGTTGTTATCTGTGGGAAAAGCTGATCTAATAGGAGCTACTCAGCCATTAACAGAAGAAAAAGTTTTAAAATATAAACTGATACATTTGACAGGAATAACGAGGCATCTGGTTACAGCTCAAGAACATGTGTATCAGCACTTATCTTAGATCGGCCTATGCTTATTGATTTTCAGGGTTGAAATAGATCATAATTACCATCTAGTCTGCCAACCATAACAAGCTTAAAAGTTAATCCTAAGTCCCATCACGTAAAATGAAATATCGTTATTTCATTACCAGTGATGTTCAATTACAAAGAAAAAACAATTATCGTTCCTTATGTATGTTACAAACCTGTCAAGGCTGTTTCACGTATGGATTTAATTTGAAGAAAAACTTCTCCTTTCAGTGAAGTCCAGTTTTGAAAATGATCATATACTTCATTTTTAATACTGGTTAGCTCCCTTTTAGTAAAAGTAAGTAATGAAAGAGTCTTATTCCAGAAATATTTGTATTCCGTCAATCTTTGGCTGTAAGGTAGTAAAAATAAATAAATAAATAAGTAATTAGGATTTTTAAAAATAACAAGCATAACAACAAATGTTTCTTTGAAAAAAAATAGGTTTCTTTGACAAATGGTTTTAGAGTGACCGCATAATCTACTGTCTAAATGGAGGCAATTTTGAAAGTGAAAGAAGTACTATTTATATTTTGCTGACATAACAGATATAAACTGGAAATATCCCAGGATGACTGAGGTATATGGTCATGCCATCTCATTTCCATTATGTTATTGTTTTAACTATAAAGAAAGATGGCTACTTTCATACACATTTATTATATTAATCTTTTAAAATTAATTTAACAGCAAACATTTAGTGAAGAAAATTAGGTCAAACGTGACTTGATCATAGAGCCAAAATGAGAGTCTCAGATTCTCAGACAGCGTCCTTCCTGCACACCATGGTTTTACAGGCAGTTTGAAACCTGGGATGATAATAAACAAAACCTTTAAATGTGACTGATCCAGTGCTTTTGCTTCATGAAATGCCTCAGTTCAAAGAAACCACATTTTTTGTTTTTTGTTTCTTTGCCATCTCAGTGATTTTTATTACTTCCGATGTCCTGGCTATAATTTACGTAATAATCAAGCAAGATGCAGACACAGACCTAGGAAGTTATCAACAAAAAGATAACTGAAGCCATGAACAACAATTATTTGGTTAATATTTCTTGCCCTGAGTAGACTAGGATCTGATGCAGAGACTATATCTGTTCATCACAGTCTGCCTAGCACCTACCACAGCACCTACCACAGAGTATGTGCTCAACAAATACGGACAAATGAACGAATGAGTGAAAAAAAAAATAGATCACTCAGTTGGATGAATGAAAAAGTGAGAGGTGCTAAGGATAAAACACTGGACAACATAACATTTATGGGACTAAAACGGAAAAGAATCCCTCAAAGGAGACTACTGGGGAACAATCGGTGAGTTAGAAGTGAAACCAAATGCATACTATCAGAAAAGCCAGGGGATGAGAGAATTTAAAGAAGAAAGTAGTGGTCAGTGTTTAAGGCTTAGATAAAGGCTGAAGAGAGTCTATTGTATCTATACTAAGGAGACATCTGGTGATCTCAGAGAGAGGCATTAGGTAGGAAGAACTGAGCAGTAAAACGGAAGTGAGTAAACAGGGGGTTTTGTGGTACCACCAGTCAAGAACCTGGGCTGAGGTGGCAAGGAGAGAAAGAGGAAGATACAGAGCAGAACGGTTTGTCAGGTCGGAAGGCACCTGGATGTGGACACAGCTGGGCAGACCTTATGAGTGCAGTCACAGAGGTTAAAAACACATACAAGAGATGCGCTCATTTCCTGTGCAAAGTCCTAGAGAGGACGGATGCAAAGCAGAGGCTGCAAGATTAGCCTCTGCCAGGAAGAAGAGGGTGGTGTCATTCTGTGTGGTCATTAAGGTCTATCTGAGTGATCAGAAGCCACAGAGCTTGCCTCAATCAGCAGGCAGAGCGGGGAGCTAGGAGAGATGAGGGTTTCAAAAAGCAGAGAGAGTCCAAGTAGATCACTAAATGAAGAAGGCCAAAAGTGAGGATGGGAAGTCTGAATGTAGAGCTAGGAACTGCTAAGACTAGGAGACAAGAGGTATGAACTAAATCAAGGTTAAGGGGCTAATGGGCCCAGGGTAAGGCAGCTGCTGGGAGCAAGCCA